AGCAGCAGCAGCAGCGGCGGCAGCAACTGTTGTGCCGGGGCTTCTGCAGCTCGCCTCTGCGCCACGCTCTGGAGCGGGTGGAGGTCGCACACTCGCAATCATACACCCGCCGCGGCGTGACGATCGGCTTCACATCCTCCGTCGACGGGGGGGGTCGTGCTGGTAACAACAATAACAGCGGCGGCACATCATCGTCTGGGGGTGGCAACAGCGACGCGCTCGCCAACTTTGTGAGTTTTGTTGCTGACGACACCACCGCGCCGGCGGCGACGAAGGAAAACGGCGCACAGCCGATGCGCTGTCTCCGCTCCCCTGCTGCTGCTGAGAGTCTCTTCTTCACCGAGGAGGCAAAGAACTACTGCCGCCTCTGCATGGAGGAGTCACAGACACCACCAAAGTTGCACATCTCAACTGCCTACCGCGCGAGTCATACGAATCACGCGTGCCGTGAGGTTGTGCTGGACAGTCTGGCTCTGCTGGCGATGCGGGGGTACCCGATTGATGACATTTACCTCGTCTGGGCCGACGTGCTCTACGGCGAGCAGACGTTCCGGCGCATCCCACAACTCGTCTCCCCGCGTTGGAGCGTGAGTCAACGCAGTGAGGTGCTGAGCAAGTTGTTGATGATGCTGAAGGATTTGGGTGTCATCGACATCTCCCTCGCTGCTCAGGCGCCGGACACGTTTGACAACGCCACGCAGCAGCTGCACCACCGCCGTCGCGTTGCGTTTGAACGGCTGGAGTACATTGGCGACAATTCGTGGGGCAATCACCTCTCCAACCGCATGATGATTCTTTTCCCCGACAAGCAGTGGGCGTATAGCCAAAATGCGTATGCCTTCAACTGCTTCCGTGACGCGTGCGAGATGAACGTGACGCTGGAGTTCATGTTCGACACGCTCCGCGTAAGTGAGTTGCTGCCGTGTGGCGTGCGGGAGAAGTTAGGCGCGGGCAAGATCAAGGCCGATGTGCTGGAGGCCGTAATTGGCGAGTTGCATGTCACCCTGTGGGGGCTGGAGCCACAGCTGTATGATTCCGCCTGCTTTGTGGAGGTGAATGGCGTTGGCGAGGCGCGGCTTTCAGCGGTGGTGGAGCACTGTCTGACGGAGATATACGATCTCATCATGTTGTCCTATGTGCAGGAACTGAGCGGCTCCGCGCTGCCGCTTGCGAAGGAGGTGGCGGCGAGCCGCATATGGAACACTGTCTATCCACCGGTGCGGCGTACAAAGGACCGGGCCGGTGCCGCACGCAAAGGCCGCAGCAGTGCGACGACTGTAATTGGTGTTGGTGAATTGCGGCAGCTTCCGCCGCTGCCGTCGCTCTTCGCAGCGCCGGTGCCGCGGCCCAATGTGATGCCACACCCGCTGCGGCAACTGCGTGCGGTGGGGGAGATTCCAGAAGAGACAGTCTGTGCACACACGCAGAGTGATGTGTTTGCGCGCTTCATTAAGAGTTACGAGGGGCTGGGTCTTCTTGATGACAATTTATCATCCACAATAGACGCTCGCCGACTGCGAGACGTGCGTTTCTCGTTATTAAGACGCCAGTTAGTACCCTCATTGCCCGTAGAGGTGGAGGATGCGGAAGAAGCAGCTGTAGCAACAACGGAGAAAGGTGTGGAAGCAGCAGAAACAGAGGGAAGTGATTACATTGGTGGTGGTGGCAGCAGCAGCAGCAGTAGGAGCAGTGGTGGTGTGATTGTGGCTGAACAGGTGCTAAACTTGGAAGAGGTGTACTTTCGTGATGCGTACTTTGACATCTTTCCTGCACCACTCTCTGCTACAGCTAATCCTGATAATGATGATGCTGATGGTGAAAGGAGCCGCAGAGTTGTTGTTGCATCCCCGTCCTCGGGGAAGAGCTGGAAGGGTGGCATCGGTTATGACGTGCAGCTGCGAATGGCAGCGACTGTTGTGTACCCACCGCTCCACGACACCCCAACACATGCGCCGGTTGGAGCAGCGTCGAAGGGCGATCGTGTTTGTACCTTTGCATCGTCGGTGTACGTACCAGCAGGCACCAAGCCGCCCTCAGCGGGTGTGGTGACAGACAAAAACCTCCACTTTGGTGAGTTTGCTTTCTTGCCTGGGGGCACAGAGGTGGCAAATAACGCGCAAGAGACTGAGGAAGAAAGCAGCAATGGCCCTACAACTGGAGAGGGCACTGATGTGGTGGAAGAGCCCATTGAGGCTACAGCAGCCGCTGACAATGATCACACAACTGGGGCAGTGGGCAGTGCTCAGGGGGATCAGGCGGGGGGAGGGGTTCACGACTTGCGGCGGCGAACGCAGGCGAAGTGGCGCTGCGAGAACCCGTACTTCCCCTGCAGAGCAGCCCTCGCATGAGATACTGTGAGAAGTGGTGCGGTACAGGCATGTGCGTGTGGGTTGCGGGAGAAACGCATGGGTGCAAGCGGTGCGTAAGCGGGTCAGTTGCGGGGGGGTGGGGGTGAGGTACTCTTCTCTCATTGATCATTCGCTGATTCTGTCAAGTTCCCCTTATTGTGTTGCTCTTTTTGCCTCATCACTCTTCCTTTGGTGTATATGTCTTAAACGCATATTTGTATAATTGCAAGAGAGATAAAAGACGGGGAGGCAAAGGGCGTTGTTCCGTTTGCGTCCGTACTTGATGCGTAGCGGCTGCAGCAACACTGTGGATAGCACGACGTCAGGGGGAACGAAGAGAAACAAAGATAACGGGAGCAGCTGCGGCAGCAGTAAGAGAGGGAGAGAGAAGGTGGTGGATTGAGTGCGTTGGGTAACCAAGGCGTATGTCGGCAAAGGCGTCTGGCGAAGTCATTGTAGACTTGGACCCCGCCATTGTGTACTTCACCTTCTCCCGCATCCGTGACACATTCTCATGTGGCCGCACAATCGAAAGCACGCTGGAGCAGTTTCTTCGCCGTGAACTGACGCCGCGAGATCTGCCGCTGTTGTGTGTCCTCACCGACGGCAAGGGGAACTACTACAGCCAGAACAACCGCCGTCTGTTTCTCTACAAGGAGCTGCAGCGGCGCGGCATGTTGACGACGGTGCCTGTGCGGCTGCGGCAGATGCCCGACACGCGGCGCATGCGTGGGAAGTACACCCCTGAGAAGTGCGCACTCCACGCAACGCTGAAGCACGAGGGTGCGGTGCTGCCGCTGCCACAGGACAACTGCAGCGAGGACGAGGACGAGCTGGGAACAGCAGCACCGGCGAAGACAGAGACATCGGCGTCACCTCAGCAGAAGCAGAAGCAGCGAAGAAAGAAGCAGCCTGGTGGTGGTGGTGGTGCTGGTGTGAGGGCGATGACGTTGGAGGAGGAGCTCCGTGAGTTGAACGTGTAACAGCACCGCACATGGTGCTCTGTGAATGCGTACATGTGTGGGTGTATGCACCTGCTGGCTGTCGTCTCCGCCACCAATGCCAGTCATTCTGCATGTGTTTCGTTCACCTACTCCACTTCCTCCTTTCTTTATTTCTTGTGGTGGCAGCAGAGGAAAAGACGAAGGAAAGGTGAAGCCGCCATGTCAGCGCGCCGCGGCACACCGGCGCTGATGTCGTCGTCGACGGCGCGGAAGAGGAAGAAGTCGATGAGTGAGATCGTCAATGAGCAGTTTGCTGAGAGTGACGCACGCTCCCGTGAGGGGGATGTGTGGGATGACGTGGGTGGCGAAGCCCCTCAAATCGACGACTACTACAATGACGATGATGACTACGATGTGCCTGCACCAGCGAGCAAGCGGAGTCGGACAGAGCAACAGCAGCAGCCGAAGCGCCTGCGCCGTCGCGGCCCGCTGGATGCGTCGCTGTCTGCCGGCGAGTACGCCGCCACGCCGGTGGATGTTGAGGCGGCGATGGACGGTATCTTTGGCGCCCTCGAGATGAACGACGACGACGACGATTACGCGGATGAGGACCTCGCAGCTCTGCATGAAGATGATAGCGACGGCTATGGGGATGAAGACGACGATGATGATGAAGACGGGGAAGAAGAAGAAGCAGCTGAAAGAAAAAGCAAACAGAAGCGGAAGCGCGCGAGTGGGCGGCCAGAGACAGAGGAGGAGTACGTTGCGTGGCTCGAGGCGCAGCAGGAAAAGAAACAGGCGAGGCGCCGTGCCGCTGGCGGGGACGGGGAGAGCGGCATTCTCGAGCAGCTCGAGTCGCTGCGTAAGGCGCAAATGGAGTTGGGGGTGAAAGAGGCGCAAGAGGGAAGCGATGCCGCTGATGATCCGCGCGTGAAGCAGCGGCAGCGTGCGCAGGCGGCGGTGCGGCATTACGTGATGCTGTACTCGCAGCTGCTGCGCGTGCGCATCAAGCTGCAGCCGGCTGTGGCGCGCGCCGTAGCGTTCCCACAGTACTACGCCCTCGAAGACTTCCTGCAGGAGGAGAATGCCCAGGCGAAGGCCGACGTGGAGGAGGTCGCCAGCAACCTTCGAGAACTGCTCGGCACCTTTCACGCACTCTCGACTGACGGCAAACAACAGCAACAGCAGAATGCCACATCTCTGGACTTCAGCGACATCAACGCCTGCCACAGGCGTATGATGAAAGGGGTGGACACGTGCATCGAGTACTGGGGCGCCAAGCTCGTGCAGCCAAACAGTGCCAAGCTGCGCACCCTTTCACAGCCATTGTTGCAGCAGATCCGCGCAATCCTTGAGAGCAAGGCGCGTCTTCGGTCCAAGGTACAGAAGAACAGATCCCATGTGGCGATCCTGGGCCACCCGGAGCATTACAAGGCGTCGCAGTCCGCCGAGGGAAAGGCGGCACGAGCACTTCATATCGCTGAGGGAGATATCGATGAAGAGATCTACGACGATGCAGAATTCCTGCGGGAGGTGGTACGGCGCGGGGGGGTGGCGAAGTTGGAGCAGCAGCTGCAGGAGATTCAGAGCAGCCTACAACCGCACGAGGCGCTGGCAAAGCGTGGCTTCCACCGCTTGACAAAAGGCAAAGCTGTCAACTACGAGCCACGGCCGAAGTTGGTGGGCTTCCTCTTGCCGCTGCCATATGCGGTGAGCGGGCAGCACGAGGTAATGGTGAAGTCGCTGTTTCAGTAGCGAGTCTGTGTGTGTGTGTGTGTGTGTGTGTGTGTGTGTGACGGTGAAGGAGCGGACGGCTGTTCGTCGTCGCACGCTCCGTGCGGTGTCACGGCGGAGTGTGGGCCTCTCACACAAGTGAGGACGAGTAAGGAAATCATAATAAGCGACCATGCAAGAAGAGCAAACCTGTGTGTGCTGTGTTGTGCTGCCGTTGTCTTGTTCCCTGTTTTCCTCTTGTCACCTGAATGGACTGCCGCCCCTGTTGCGCCCCTGTGTGGATTTTTCTCAGTAACTACAAGGAAGAGTGAGTGCGTAACCGGTTGTTGTGGAGCAGCACACCCACCCACACACACACATACACACACACTTTGAGAGAAAGAAAAGCAATCGGCGTGAATATGGACGACGCGCTCCTCGCCCTGCTGCAAGGCGACGACGCGGCGCACGGAGGTTCGCTATTGGGCAGCAGGCAGGCCGTCGCGAAGGCGTTCGAGGCCGCGCTGCTCGGCGCTGTCGGAATCCCCGACGCGGAGGCCGCTGCAGCGCTTACAGTGCGCGTGCGTGCTGCCGCTGCTACGTTCCTCGCGGCACCGACACCGGGGCCACTGGAGATGCTGCTGGTGCGGGTTGTGACACTTCTGCACGCCTACAGTGTCGTCTGTGCTCCCGCCTCGGTGAACGGTGGGACTGCACAGCTTCCTGCAAGGACGAGGGAGGCGGCAATCGCGCTGTCGGCTGCCCTTTTTTCGCGGCGTCTGCGAACTGTGGGGAGAGAGACTGACGATGGCGGTAATGCTGACGCGGGTGAGGATGATGGTGATGATGGTGGCGTGCCAGCGCATGAGTACCCGCTGTGGTACTGCTTCCTTTATGTGTTCCTGCAGCAATTGTCGGCGCGGGGAGACGACTTCACCCTGTGGAAGCAGTTTTTCCGCGAATGCAAGGCTGAGTGCGAGAAGTTGACCGGGACGCAGGGGATTTCAGAGGAGAGGGAAAGCGATCATGACGATAATGATTTCAGCAGGAGCGAACACCTTGGTACCAAGGCGTGGGGCCTGGTGTCAACTGAGATGTTTGACGCCACCGTTCTCAGGACGCGATTTCGCCGTTCGGCCATAGTGTGTAAGTCGTTTTGCCCGCACCTTGTCGCGCAGGCGCCTGGCACGACGTATCAGCTGCGGCGCACACTACACGCATTCATGTCGGAGTGGGAGCAGCTGCAACGGCAGAACAGCATACCAAGCAAGGAGGCAGAAGCGGCAGTTGTGGCGCGCTACGGCGAGGAGTTGGGGCGTCTGCTGGGCGAAGGCCAAGTGCACTCCTTTCTGCTGGCGACTGTTATTGGGGCGGTGCTGTCCTCGACGTACATTTTCTCACGGCGTGCCGCACGCGGTCAGGATGCGGGGAAGCGGCACGAGTCACGTGAAGACACCTCGACGCAGATGGAGTTGCGTTGGCGACAAGCGCACTACCCGCCCATTGGACGGCTGCTCGACCACCTGCACATCCGCCCGCTCCTCGCCGTGCACCTCTACGCCTTCTGCATGCAGGTTTGCATTGGGCTGTCGCCGACGCACTACACAGAGGCACGGCAGAAGTTGGCGCTGTGTTTGTACCTCACAGAGGTGAGCCCACTGTGCGTCGCACTCGCCGTCTATCACTACGCCGCCACTGCAACAAGCCAACCGAGTACTTTGGAATGGAAAGGAGGAGTAATAACTGCTTTGCCAGGTGAGGAGCTCGCGTCCTTCACGCTGGCACTCAACCACTATGTTCAAGAGGCACGCAATGAACTCTATCTCGTCACGGTTGAGGCTGGACCCACACGGCGGCGACCATCACGGCACAGCAGCAGCAGCAACAACAACAACAACAACACCGAGGACGATGAGCCCCTTCCAGTCAATGGGGAATTGCAGGGACCGCGTTTTGCCAGGACCGTATTTCCCGTTCCCTGCCCGACGTGGAGCAAGTACCTTGTGGAGGAAAAAGTGTCAACGGGAGGAGCGAATAAACCCACTGCGAGTGGAACAGGTGCATTTGCGAAGAACATTGCATCCACACCGCGTCTGACGCCGTTACAGTTCGTGTTGGAGCTTCTGGAGTTGGGACTGCCAGGCCTTGCGGCGGACACCATCACGCAACTACAGGTGGAGATGAAGTTGAATGTGTGTCTTGTACCGGCAGCTGCCATGCCGAGTGGTGGTGGTGGTGGTGGCAACATTGCCACCAATGTCATGCGGCGCCTCCAGGTGATTCTAGAGGAGAGGACGGAGGGGAAAGGAACAGGGGGTGGGAATGATGTCGAGAGTAGTGCGCAGCAACAAGGATTGCTCTCAGCACCACTGCGGGCCCTAGAGGCGTATTACCCGCTTCTGTCGACTATTCACGCGTACGTGGCATCACAGGAGTTTCTTTGCAGCTTGGTGGAAGGGCTTACAAGAGAGTGTGGTAAGTTTATAAATTCCACGCGTTGTAACCATCATGACCCTCAGCAGCAACAGCAACAACAATATCATCCGAGCGAAGATGAGGAAGCCATCAGCAATATGAGACATGATGAGGACGAAGTGAATAACAACGCGCTGTGCAGAGGCGCTCTGGGACTGGCGGAGTCATATCTTATTCACGTCATCATGCCATGCTTGCGTGTCATTGCGCCATCGCCAATATTATACGACCGCATCCAGGGGCTGCTCCTGCTGCTTAAGGTGGAAGGACCTGTGGTGCACTTTGGCAGCAACCCTGTTGAGTTCCTCCACATTTCCGCGTGGATGAATTGGTTGGTGCACCCACCAACGTCCACCTTGCTGCGGCGGGCCCCACACGACACGCTCCGCTCCAAGGAGTTGGAGTCTCTTTTCACACAGTCGCTGAAGCGCATGACAGCAGCTAATGTTGCGCGCTATGCTAGTCTACTGCGTCCGGCGATATACGCGAACCCGCTTCTGGTGGCGGAGAAGCTGTTTCAGCAGGCGGTGGGGTACGGCAACAATTTTTTGCCTATCCACACGCAGCTCCTGAAGGGGGCTCCAGCAGCCGTCATGACACTCATTGCACACGAGGGTCTGGCGCTTATGCGGCGGTACGCGGAAAAGGAGCGCATCGGAACGACCGACGCTAATCGTGTTGGGCTCATTGCCACGTTCCTGGCGGTGCTCTGGCGCGACAACCCACGAAGCTTTGATGGGGGTCTGCTGCTGCGGGCAGCCGAGTACGCCCTGCGCAGAGAAGCCCGCGCGTCCATTGTATTTGGGCTCGAACTGCTCAGGTCGATCTTGCACGAGCTGCTCGACTACACACTCGAACATGAGGAGCAATACAGCGTGGCGCAGGTGCAGGCGCTCATTTCTCCCGCTGCTACTCAGTGGTTCGTGAAGGGGGCCGCCGAGTCTTTCCGCCGCGGCCGCTGGGACGCGTGCCTCACGCCGGCGGTGCTGGCGGCCTCTGCCTCGCTGCTTCGTGTCGCACTGCAGGAGCGTTGCGTCATTCCCGTCGAGTCACAGGCAGACATGAACGAGGATGAAGAAGCAGCGGAGCAGCAGCAGCGTGACGCGGCCCCGTCGACGGTAGAGTTCACGCTTGGGCAGTCCCTGCTGCTGCACCTCTGCCGCCTACACAGCCGCATCTACGCGGTGCAGGCAGACCTCGCGGCACCGATGCAGACTGTGCTGCTCACGTGTGCGCGGGACAACAATGTCATCAACGACCTGTTGCTGTGTGTAGAGGGACTTCTCCCGCAGGGGCCGCCGGTGGAGGAAATCTACATGCTGGCGATGCCGCATGTTGCCCTGCGCCTGACTGCCCGCTTCGCAGCGAAGGCTGTGCAGAGTGCATCGGTGAGTATACAGCAGTTCGCGGGAATTGATGCACTCTTCACCGTGATGCCGTCTGATGTTAGCGATCACGTGGGGAGGGGATCAGCGGCGCCGCTGCTTTCCAGAGGCTTCGACGGCGTTATCCCTTTCGCACTTCTGCAGAAACTGTCATGCTACACGGCTGCGCATTTTGTTTACGATGAGTCGGTGTACAAAGCAGCGGTGAAGGAGGTGAATGAATTCTTCAACCACGCCACCGCCAGGCTGAGATCAGGCAGTGACAGCAGTGCCAAACTCACCAGCGACCCCACAATCCGTTGGCTGCAGGAGCAGACGCGGCAGATTCGACTCGAGAAGGAGGCCTACCAGAGGCTGTACCAGCAGTGTGAAGACGCACGTGCCACGTTGCTCGATGAGCTTCGCCGGGGTGGTGTACTCAATGCGCCCGTCGCATTTGCAAAATCATACCTCCTCCCACGCGCACTTCTCAGCCTAGAGGACACCCTCTTCGTGTACCACTTCCTCAAGTGGCTGCTCGACGCCACAAGGGCCGATGGCAGAAAGGGTGGCGAGTACGAGCGTGCCGTCGACATTGTCCTGTCGCTTGTAACAGCCGTCGTGACATTTTTTGTTGGATTCACTGACGGTGAATGCAAGCGGTTGGGTTTCCTGCTGAGTCTTCTTCTTGCCGCTCTGCATGAAGGAACAGAAGAAATGCCGTCGTCTATGTGTGGTAGCAACAACAGTTCTGCAGTGGCAACTGACACTGGTTTGGCTGTCACGTCAGCGACGACCATCACGAAGGAGGCGCTGATGGCGTGCTTGGAACCGAAGCCACGCTCGCTGATGAGCATTCTCGAACCCCACGCCACCCCTGCCGCCGCTGCTGCTGGTGCTGAGAAGTGTAACAAAAAGGAAGATGACAAGTTAGAGGAGGGCGAGACGAAGTTTGACGATGTGCCAGCGCATTTGGTACAACTCGAGGCATACCTGTGCCGCTCCCTCGTGCAGTTGCTGGTACATCAAAAAGACATCCTTTTCCTCCACCGAAATACTTTTCTCATTCTGGAGCGTCTTACGAAAACCACACCCGCCTTTCCGTCAACGCTGTGTGCGACGGAGTGGCTCATCAGCGCCGTCGCGCCGCACGCCGTGCGGAGCTCGTCAAGCTACGCCTCCGCAACAGCAGTGTTGAAAGTGCTGCAGGACAACCAGCAGCGGAAGCGGCAGGTGCTGCGGGGGACCATGTCGGCGCCTTCCATCACCCACACACTCCAGAAGCGTGGGCGGAACAGCAGAAGTGGTGGGGATGATGTAAAAAGCGCAGCGGAGCGGCAAACAGAGGCATGGCGGAATTTTTTGAAGACACGGGAGACATATGTGCGGCTGTTGCTCAACGCCGACATGGCGGCCGCGGAGGCGCGGCGTGCCGAGGACGTCGGGCGGGAAAAGGCGCAGGACGAGGAGGAGGAGGAGCTCGAAGTGATGGCGGCACAAGCGGGGAGCGTGGATGATGGTGACGCGGCGACAGAGCGCAGCTTCGCCCCCACTGGAAGTCGCAACGATGATGATGATGATGACGATGACGGCGTGACCGATAATGAGATGAAGGAGGCAGAAGAAGAAGAGGAGGAAGAACGGCGGCAGAAGCAAGACGAGGAGGAGGAGGAGGTTGAGCCGGAAGGAACAATGACAACTGGAAGCCGTTGCGGGAGTGAGGTTGGAAGCAGCAATTCCACGCCGGCGCGCAACGAGGCGAAGAGAGGCCGAGACGCGGCGGACAGCAACGGCAGCAACAATAACGGGGACGAGAAGGAGGGAGACGGCAGTGGCGGCGGCGACGACGATGACCAGCCGCCAAAAACAGTTCTTCGGCTAGAGGAGGATTGACGTGGCGCGAAGAGAAGCAGCAGCGTACTGGTGGTGGGCAACTGTCGCGTTATGGCCTAATGCGTTTTTTAACAGTCGTGTGTGTGTGAGTGTGTGTCTCTGATTGTCTGTGTTTGGGTGCGCGGCTGGCGCCGGGAGGCGAAGAATGATTCTGTCTATACCTATGTGCGTGTAACAGTGCTGGTATCGCGCAGTGCGTTACACGAGTGGCTGAAGGCGCACTCTAATTTCTCCTCCTTTCTGCCTGCGCAGAGGCAACACGTAAGGGAAGGCGCCGTGAGGACGGTGAAACCGCTTGTGAAGTGCGTGCATGGAGACAACGCTGAACTTTTGTTTCCCCAGTCGGAGGCAGCAAGGCCAAGACGTGGCGGTGCGTGTCGTCGTGCCCGCAGTGGAGCAGCGGCCCAAGGCAGTGGCGAATTTTATGTTCATGTGCACCGGCGAGCTGCCGTCGAGTGATGTGGTGCGCGCGCTTGGCGTCGCGTCGTGTCAATTTGCGGCACCGTCCGCCGACGCGCTGCGCACCGCTGGGCTGAAGCCGTTCGCAGAGAGCGCCGTTGTGCGCATCGAGAAGAACGTCATGATTGAGATCGGCAGCAGCACGAGCAAGACCATTTTTGGCGGTTTCACTGAGGACGAGCCGCTGCAGTCGCCGGCGAGCGCCACACTGCAGCAGTTACGCGCCGGAACTATTCTGCTGGGAAACATGGGGATGCCGAACACGAACGGCAGCCGCTACTACATCCTGCTGCAGGACATCGTGGCGCCGGCGCAGCGCGAGGAGCTGGGCGTGTACCAGCCGCTTGGCTTCATTGCGGACGGCGTGGAGGCGCTGCGCAACGTGTGCAGCACGGCGGCGGTGCAGCCACGCACACTCGCGCCGCTGCAGCCGGTGAGGATGTGGGCGGCGGACGTGCTCTTCGGTGGTGGTAAGGGCGGCG